TATACATAACTCATTTTGAGAAAAGAAGATTGATTTTATAGCTAAAAATTTTCTCGATGAAAATAATTATAAAAATAGTTGTATTACCAGGACAATATATTGTTTGCTCATGGAATCAAGCGATTAATTGAAGGAATTTTTTTTTATTTTTTATAGGTGTTGTATGATAATATCAGCAACTACAGATAAGTTTAGTTCGCAGGAACATCAAGATATGATATGTTCAAATAGTGTTTGATAAAAACAAACTGGTGTTGCGAATCTAGAGTTTATAGAAGAATTTATTATCATGATTGTGGGCTTAACTGAACTTACATTGTGATATTGCTTTTTTGCAGCATATTTTCCAATTCTAATTAAGAGGATTTCAAAAATAAATCAGACTGGAAGATGTTTATAATGAGGGATAATGTTATTTTAATGTTACAAATTGCTTTGATTATTCGAAATATTTTTGCAAGATGAAACATGTTGATTCTTTTGATTACTTTTTGTGTTGCGAATCTTTCAGTTATTCAGATTTTCTGAACTGAATTTTTGATGGAAGCAACAAAGTATAGCAAAGATATAACTGCCATTAATTATTTCTATTAATTCAATTGCTTTATCGAATTTAGCTCCAGTTTTTCAATCAGTTGTTCTCCTTGTAAACTTACTTCTTCTGAGGAAAATTTCTTGTTTCTTACTTTGGGTAAATATTTCAAATATGCACTGTTTCTTTCGATATTAAATCTACTTACTATATTTGCTTTAAATTGAACAGTTTTCGAATCTAAAATTTCAGATTATACGAAGCTATCACAATTTTCTATCGACTTTCTTACCTATTATATCGTTTTATTATAATAGTAATGTTGCTGTAAGAGTTAGATTAATAGATGGTAATTACCAATTAATAATAGATGTTTCTATTTCAATATTTTTTTGCTTTGATTAGTTTTTCAACTGTAAATTACCGCAAACAGTACTAAAATCTGACTTTTCCTTTATTACTTCTTTTTTCTGTAATCAATTGTTTGGGTACTGAATTTAAATTCATGAATCTTCGATTATATTCCTTTACAATTGCTATATCAGTAATAATATGACCATTTATTAAGAATGGTTCGAGAATTCACAATTTGATTTTGATATTGTTTCATTTTGTTTGTTAAAAATAAGGAAAGTTTGTAATCCATTTATAATAACATTGCCTTCATATATCGACATTCTCAATTTTTTGTATAAGCAGTTTGTTATTTCCTGTTGTCCCATAAAGTAATGCTAATACTGATTATAAACTTCTCACTTTATGCTATGCATAGTCAAGATCTGATATTAATCCCTTCCTGTCGTAAAAGAATATTTCCTTTTCATTTTCTAAATTCCTCCATAAATGAGAATATATTGCAGAAAGTCTGAAAATAGTCAGGAACATAAAAACTCAATTTTATTCTGTCGTATACTTAATACAGTAAATAATCTATCCATCACTGTCGTTACAGCGAAAGCAATAATTGCTGAGTTATGCTCAGTGCAATGCAAATATCTTCCAGAACTGTTTAATCAAAACTTTATTTAAAACACATCGTTTTTTTTCTCAATGTGAGAAATAGTTTAGTAAAAATCAGTCATACTATGGTATGAAAAAGTACGGAAGAAAAAATCGCTTTAATGCAGAAATTGTGTCCAAATTTTACAATAAAAAATCTATATTGAATGTTCACGAGGGAGGTTATCATCATGCGTTCTGTTACTTATAGAGAGTTATGGATGACAAAAGTTTTAATTTGCTTGTTAATGTGAATTGAAAGATTTAGTACGGATATTCTGCAATAGATTCACTATTTTTGACTGTAAATAAGTAAATAACATCCATGAACTCTATAATACCCTATTTAGAAGCTTTTGATATCGTAACAATGAACGATATCTGAAAATAAGAGGTAAATAATGCAATTGATATGACAATAGTTTACTCATTTATCACTTACTGATCATCGACCGATCAAATTTTTGTAGCGTAGCATTGGAAAAGTGAATGTTGGCATTACGACTAATGATAATAATACTAGTAAGATTTTATCAACAAACTTTTGATATCATACATATTATCACCAATAATATATTCTTTAGAAATATCAAATGGAGAATAGAAATTAGTTGTTCTCTGTTCGTTTGGTCATCGACTGTTCAGGAGTAACAGGAACATACAAGGAAGATGTAAGAGATGGAAACGATTGTATTATTGGGTGCAAATATAAATTTGATTTATATCTGAATTTATAATAAGTCTCATTTACCAATTATGTGATCATGGATAGATTACCAAGGGTCGTGACAGAGTGTATAATATAAAAATAAATTGGGATATATTAAAAAGCATCTGAAAGCATGTAATATTTTCTGCAAATATGCAAATAACAAACATTCTTTATGCTAATTATATTAAGATATTTAAATATCTCCTTGAGTGAGACACTTCTTCTAGAACATTATTTTCTTATAAATGATTCTTGTCATTTTTTTTACTTTAATTGGCTTATTGAACTGGTGAATTTCTGCTTAAAATGCAAATGAAATATAAAAAAAAAAAAGATGTTAAGTGTTTGGTGCTTGGCATACGTAATAAGTAGTATTATAGGAATTTTACGAAGAACATTGTAAAATTTGTTAATATTTTAGCACCAGTAAGTCTTAGTTCCATCATGTATTTTTGTAGCTTGTGAATATGTGAAACTTTGCTAATTTTTCAGAATGAATGCATACTCTTTTCTTTCTTCTCTTTTTTGGGATAAATTAATCGCGGTGAGAAATAATGTTATAGGAAGTGCTCCAAATTTAGCAGAACATTATAAAAGTATATTTTTCAGCTTGAAAGCTCTCTCCTAAGCCATTTGAAGACAGTTGAGTAGAGTGGAAAGAACTCAGAGGGCAAAATGCCAAGGATAAATGTAAAAGAGACCGCTACTCACGGAATAGGAATTTAAAGTAGAAGAAGCAAAATGGATCCCACACCCTGCTAGAGATATTAAGAAAATAGAGTGGGTCTATCAGTCAGACAATAAGGAAGATAACGAACCAAGGTATGACTGGCACGAAACAACCTATGGACTCTCCCGTAAATTTTAATCTATGCAGCAAGTATATATCAGTGTAGTAATTAGAGCAAGTATTAACTCACCTGTTATATAAATGATTAATAAACAAAATTTAAGCTTATTTTCGAAGATCGAAGACGTTAATAATACCGGTTCCTACCATGTATATAACACTGCTGCGGCAACACTGGAAGTATTTCACTCTTCCGATTCCGGAACGATTCTGGAACTGTTGCAAATATCACAAGCAGAACTATACACGATAGTACAAGCAGAAAGGAATTACAACATCGTAATTTATAACTTCAATAACATTGGATAGGCAAATTGTGTATACCACACCTTCATTCTTATTGATGGAATTACTTTTATGTATGAAACTATAAAACTCCTTTATGAAATAAGGAAGGGTAACAGTGCTCCTATATCAAACAATTTGTGCAACAATATTTTCTGCTTGTTGCATTGAGGGGCATCTGAGCAGGCAGTTCGGAAGACTAAAAAGGTGTTATTCATACCTCAAAAACACCTAAACAGGATGGTATGCACTTTAGAAGCATACTCCTTATACATTTGATTCAATCTAAAAAAGATTCAGCTCATTAATTACATTATATACACCAAATGCATACTCTCTGATTTCAATGCCTTTTGGAGAAAAATATTATTCTTTTTCTTATTATTATTGTTAACAAAATTAAATAAAATCAATAAAGTTGATAATAATAGTAACAGTAACGATAATAGTAATGATAATAATAATAGTAAAAGTGATATATTCACCAGATATAAATATATCATTAAAGGTCATTTCTGGAGTAAAGAATTTAGAATGGTTTAGTAGTGATTAAGCAGTGCTAAAAACTTCCTAACATTTCGATGTATGCATTTCATCAAATTTGAATTCAATTTTCTCGCAAAAGACCCAGCAGCATATGCAGCAGGCGCGATTTTGGTTAAAATTAGATATAATGAAATTAAGCAGATTAAGATGTCAGTCAGCTGACAAATTAAAGTGACAACTACATACTGTATTTTAATAAAATATCTTGCTCAAACTACCTGGAAGTTACTTACATGATATAAAATTATGATTTCTCTCTTATCTGTTAACATTTCTATGGGCACAGCTTTATAGAATTGATTAAATTACCAAAAAAGACAACACCTGACGGATATATGAAGTAAAGATAAATCAAACAAAATTTTGCTGCATTTATTACCAGTCCTAATTGTTTCTCATTTTCCTGTTACTTAGAATACAGGGGAAAGACGTTTACAAAATTACTTCCTGCTTTTCACATTCAATTAGCTGCTACTCTACTTTAAAAACATATTAAACGAAAATAGCTGTTAAAATCCAAACATTGCTATTGATATATTGTTGTCTAGCAACCACAGAATTGAATCAAATCTATCTTCGAAAACAAAATTGACATAAGGTTAACTGCTCTTTATATTTTACATTTTTACTGAATATAAAACAGTTCTATGAATACGACTGAAAAAGGCACTTCACAACAAGAATGAGATCAATATCAGCAAAATCCTCTACTTCTATCTTCGGTATAAAATGCTATTACCAATCTTATATATCATACAAAAATGAATTGTCAAAATAATAGGATGGATGAGTTTACAATAGAACTGATTATAGATTTCTTTGTAGTCATTTAATTGGTATTATTGATAAAAATTTTGATATTTAACATTAATTCTGAAAAAACTGCCAAAAAATTCCCACTACATTTCAATTCACCTTATATCATTCATGTTATTCCTCTAGCTAAATCATCTTATTTCGAAATGATCAAAAGAAATGATAAATTCAACTCAAAAAAAAAAGAAAATGCACATTACAAAAATGAAGAAATCTCGCAAATATTTGAACATTTACGGCAAAACGCAAATAATTACAAATCATGATATTAATTGCAACACACTACTTAAATGCTCACTACAGATTGGAACCGCTTCGGTATATGGGTTTGAAACGCATGCGTCAAAAAGACGAGTATGTTCATTATTACCAAAATCACCACATTGGCTAATAAATTCTTCAATTTCCGGGTAGTACTGTGCAAACCACCAGAACAAAATTTCTGGATTTAGTGCAGCAGTTTTCCGATTAACCATATGAGAACATAGTTTTGCAGCCTGCAAAATATCTCGTAAGCTTAGCAAGACGAAAGTCAAAAATTATAAAACATTTTTTCCCACGTTTCATGCCTCAGTTGTTAAAGCACTATTCAATGATAATAACAGTAATCTCGATATCATCAATAAACAAACCCATATACCAAACACAGCTATTTGAGGTTTATTATTTCGAAATGAACTTTGCAGGCACTCAACTTTTTCTTTGAGAAAGTCACAGAAAATTAATAAATATATAATAATAAAAAGAGTTCCAAAATATATATGACAAAACAAAAGAGAACTAACTTTTTCTCTAATCGTTTCATTTTGACTCTTCAATAGCACAACGATAATTTTATATAGCTGAATATCTGGAGTACCTAATAATTAGAAGTTTAACATTATAAACACTGACAAAAAACATCATATGCAGAAATCAAACTACATATTAAAAAAAACCTCTTTTCAAAAGCAATTCCAAAGCCTGAATAGCTATTGCCTGAATTTGCTGGTCTTCGTTAACGGCGCTGCTATACAACCAATCAAAACACCATTCATTATGATTCAGTTTTATAAGGAGCAGGTTTGCCAAATGCCGATTACTTTGTCTACAACAAATTAAATTTTCAAAAATACAAGCAAAAATAACTCAGGAAAGATAATGAATGCATTATATACAACTGTTGCAGATTTAGAAATTTTAAAACCATAATTTTTTAAATTACCATTTTTTGCGAGAAATTTCTTATGACGCATCAGAGTGTAGCTTTTCACACTACCACAATAAATTAAATTTCAAAATACATCCAACCTTGTCTTCATCAGTTCATGAAGGAAATGCTTTAGAAAACTAGTGTCAAATAATGCTGAATGTGTCGTTGTGCTATTCAAAAGCAATGTCAAAATCTGCAATATGCCATTCATATTAACATGATAAGTTTGGAAGCAATTTTCTCAAAAAGATAAAAAATTTTACTGTTATAAACATTTATCACCTTCACTTTCTACCAGTTCAACCTTTATTTTTCTCTTTCGAGACGACTTACATAACGTTGTACAAATGGCCCTGAATTTCGAATATCTTGGACTGCTAACTGTATCGTTTCAATTTCCGTAAACTTCATTGTAGTCGATTTCGACAGTACTCGCCAGAATTCAAGGCGTAAAGGTCTACTATTCATCAACAGATTCTTGGTTTCAAAAGAAATTTTGACATCTAAAATAATCTCCATTAATTATCAAGTCTGATTTGATGTTTTTCCCAAACCGAAGTGATATAAAATGTTCTTGAATAAAAGACAGCGCCCACAGTTAATAAAATAGAAGCTAAATTATGAACTAACAAGAAAAAAATCAGATATATGGTAGAAAAAGCTATTCAACTTCAAGTTGAATATTTTAAAATGTTAAATAAATTAGCTATTTTTATAGTAAACGTAACTTCAACTTCTCTAGCAATCCATTTTGCTAAAGGTCTGAAAACCAGTACTGCATCTGATAAAACAAATTTCTCCGCGAATAACGCCGTAAACTGATATCTGGTTTTAAGAAGCAATGTTAAAAATAAAAACCTATTGTAATCACACCTGAAAAAGAAGGAAATAAATCATCTCAATAGAAGTTAAACAGTAATATCATATTTGCAACTGACTGCTGATTTTTTGAGTGCTAAGAATGAGATGATTTTCTAATAATAATTTGTACATTTCATATCAAGTGACTTTCAATTTCTTAAATCTAACACCGAGAACAACTTTGGGTAGAGTTTCTACTGTGTGAAATGAAATCTTTTCGCATGCTTGGAATATGATTTCGTCACAAGAATATAAGAATATACCATCTTTTGAAATGCTTGTCATTTTTGACTCGTTTTATTACCGATTTTATGCAGCTTTGTAATTCACATCCATCAAACGCGACAGCAAGTTCTAACAACTGCAATTTTACTTTCTTACAGCATAAGTGCCAGCTTTTTAAATTGGAAGATATGCCCCTTGATTTGTCAGTTGGTAATCTAAAGAAAAACAATAAGGATAAAAGCCATATTTCTTTTATCTTGTTTAATGATTTAATCAGTATTAAACAAATAAATACCATAAGAATAATTGCACAAATTTCATTTTGGGTACATGAGATAAGATCAATATTTGAAATCCATTTCAACAAGAAATGAGCATCCTGAAAGAGGTGTAGTAGAGGCAAGAAACAAACAGTTTGCCTGAATATCGAATAAGGAAGTTGAAATACCACTGCATGACTAAGGAGAATGACTTGAAAACAATTAATTAGATATCTAAAAGAGCAATTAGTATTGCACATATTTTGTACTTATAAAAAAGAAACAACGCATAAATGCCATCTGAATGATTCCATACCTGAACTTCGCAAATAGAAATAAGTGTCGCTGCAGACAATTCACGCAGTTTCATAGAGCGACATGATAAAGAAAATTTTAGAAGTGGAAAGATATAAGTAGCAAGTGAATAAATGTTATGTCGTGGAGAGGGGAACAGATGGATGAGAAGAACCAACACAGCGAACATTCCCAGTTGCGAAACACATTTCTCGTTTTCATAAAACTGTAGGTGTAATAAGTCATATAATGATGGAAACCTAAATATCAGAATTTATTTTGTTAAATTCTTTCATATCACTTCAGATTGTTAGGCACAATTTGTTAGAACAGCACATTTATCATATATGTATATCAATAAATTACATCAGCTGAAATCAATAGCGCAGAAATTACTGGAGATGACAAGTACCTAATGCATATCCCAGATATATTACATGTTGCTTTGCAACAAATACTACCAAGAAATTTCCAAGTAATATTGAAAAGAAAATAAAAATCAACTGTACTGTTAGCGAGGTTAATCAGCAATAAGCAGAATAAATTTTTTGAACTTGGATAGAAGTTATTTTTAGGATTATTACCAGAAAAACCTCATCTGAATCAACCAACCTGGTGAAGAACTCAAAAGAGGACAAGCGATTTTTTTCATCTGGATGGAGTGATAGTTGCATACTTCGAGGGATACCAAACATTCGATTAATCAGAGCAGCGAATAGCTGTGATGCAGCACTTCGTACTGTCCAACTACTAGAACCAAAACAAGCAAAACAGACGTTCATTGCGGGTTCTATATAACAGAGAACTGCTTCTGATAAGCGACTGTTTAGAAAAATTGCTCGCATAATATTGATACTATGAACTCTAAAATGTCCGCAAATTTCAGGAAAACGAACATAAAAACAGTCATCGGTGATTTAAGAACAATATAAAGACGAGAACTAATTATTTATTAATTTAAGATTCCCGTTGTTCAAGTATTTCACGATATTCAACAGTGATAAGAGAACAAGCATATCAAAATATTTCTGAAATCTAAACTATGTGATGATACATTTCAACGTATCGACTAATTGAGATCAAGAGATTTATAAACATTTAATGACTAGACTTGATATTTATAAAAATGTCCCATGCATTTGCCAAAATAATAAAAGTTCTCTAATAAAGAATTCAACATAAAAACTCACTGTGCTTTATAAGATCTTCCCTTATTTTTAAGCATAAATATCATCGTTGTTTTCAGACATTGTGCATCATTTATGACTGGTTCCTTTGTGAGAATTGAAGCAATCAAATGTGGCAAACCAGCACTTCGACGCGTTGCACATAACATATCTAGAAAAACACTTTAAAATACTACGATATCAACAGAACTTGAGATAGTTTTTAAAAAAATTAATGTAAATTATATATCATACAAAATCTGAAGTTATCTAAAATACAAACAATGTTTTTCAATTTGAAAATCAAAGCGCTAAGAGAAGTGTTTTTCTTCATCAAATGATGAAGCATTGCGATTGCCAGATAATGAACTGCTTAACCAATGTAACACATCAAATTCAACATCAGCAATGAATCTTGCTCTCAACAAATTATTCTCTATTGGCAAAATTCATAGTTTGAACCACGAAACTTACGAAAAACATCAAACAACCAACTCTCTTTGCTATCAATTAAGTCTGTGATTTGCTTTATCCACGCATCTGGATGGGGTAAATCTGCAAATTCTGGAATGCCGGCTAAAGATAACGACCAAAGTTTTGCACATAATGCTTCGAACCCTTCAACTGATGCTCCTACTGCACCAGAATGTTTACATTCCGTCAGCTGGCGCCAGTAATAATTGCATATACATCGAACAGTTTCCGAAGAAAGTATAGAATTTCCAAGCCACTAAAGTTCAATTCCACGGATTTTTAAATAAGCTTTAAGTAAAGCTCAAATAATTTTCTTCCTTCAATAAGATCAAGAAATCAACTACAGTAACATCACATCATAAATGAGTAATTTCGGGTAAGTGTGCATATTAACAATGGAAACATACTTTCTACAATGCAAAAAACAATTAGCGGAAAAGAATTACCAGGAACTGCAAAGTCTTAAAATCAAAAGATATGAGTGAGCGAACCTTTGTGATTATTATATAAAATATTGCAGAAACGTATTTGTGTGAACGCCAACAACTTGCTAGTAATGCTTGACAAAAATCTGCACTATCTTTTAATTTTTTGGAGTCATTAACATCTACTGAAAATGAATTTTACATTTTTAGCATTCATCCAAACTGATCAACTTAGAATAATCGCTACAATTCAATTCATAAAAAGGGGCGCAGAATTCAAATATTCAAAACGACAATTTTAAGAACATCAAAAAAAAAAAAAATGCTCGGATGACTCACCAATGATGTTTACATGATCGTCAGGAACGAAACCTTCCGGCGACATACTGTTTACAACCGGCGATACCAACTCACTTATTTGAAAACACACCGGTAACAAATCATGATTAACCAATGTAACACACCAATCGTTCTTTCTAAATTGATACCAAACCTAATGGATATATATATAAAGCAAATGATAACTTGAAGCGACGTTTGCTGAATCTACCCGAAAACAAAAGGTTATGATATAGTTCGCTAAATGGGAAGACCGAATATCATAAAATTTCTTTAATTTCATTACACTAAAGATATACCGCATGTCGAGAGATCATCACTCTCAAAAGTTCAAGTGGAATAAAACAAAAAAAAGAAAATACAATGCACAATGAATCTCACACGGCGGACTGAAAATCCAAAAATTCCAGTGCGACACCAAATGCGCTTAATATGGAATAGACGAAGCCTTGGTTGCTTGCTATCATTAGAAAATCCTCTGAGATAAGTTTTACTCGATCTTTACACAGATTAAGAAGGCATTGAAAAACACTGTGCAAGCTATCAGGGTTTTTTTTAAGATAAAAGCGCAACCGATAACTGGACGTGAGCGTAAATAGTGACCGAATGGAGAACAACTGCTGCTTCGTTTCTGCGAAATATGAATCGAAATTCTGCAAGTTAAACTTTTTGCATATTAAATAAAGTTTAATTGTTTTAGATACAAAAGCTTAATCACAGGTAATAGCTTTAGCTGGAAAAGAAACTAAAACTTTGAATATAGGACATAAAAATTTTCTATACGTGTAACATACACAATAGAAACATGGTATGATGGAACAAAGTACATCAAGATGCTCATGTTAATTGCAAGCTCCATATTCTATTGATTAATTCTGACGTTGACTGCAATGCAGATTCTCACCAGACTTTCCAACAAGATATAAGAACTTACAAAACCACGGATTTCGAAAAATGATGAAGACAGTAAACGAAGAGCTGAAATTTGACAGATCTGGTATGAGTCATCCAAACAACGTATTACATGATAAATCTGCTCCTCTGTTGGCTTTAGTTTTGATGACAAAAATTTGAAAAACATATCTGAAAGGCGATCCAGATTAAAAAAGAGATACATTATATCGAAGAGAATTCCCAGTGAGCCAAGAAGGTGTAATAAAGCACACTGCTGGACACTAAAAATACATCTTCCAACTGATCAGCCTAACAATGTGAATTATTTTCTGGAATTATAAATATAGAATGATTCATTCTCATGCACTGACTCATGTAGTAGCTATTGTGCCACTGATTCAAATCGCCTGTTATGTGAATTTTTAAGTTGGATTAGGTCCCAAATAAATACCTTTGTTATTATTAACTAAGTAGTTTTCCAAAAAAAGATATTCTAGCATTTGAAGAGCCATTATGCGCCTGTTGAAGTTAGCGTATTGCACTAAATTTTGGAAACAGAAATCACGCAACCAGCAGATAAAATTCACATATGGATTTAACTCGTTTTCATCACTACCACTTTTCAAAATATTTTGGCCATTTTCACGAATCCGAATTAATATCTGAACAGAACTATTACTATTTGAAATTAATGGAAAATAGAACTAAAATACAAATGTCACATACAAAACAAAATTCATTCATTATGTAAAGTTCCTTTTCAGTAAGACATGACTGCAAACAGGAACAAAGATTACAGCGAAAAATGGTCTTGTTCTTGCTTTTAATTCAAGTACACATGGTTTTTATTGAATAGCAACCTTTTGTAATTTTTGAAATGGTAATGGTAAGAAATGGTAAGATATTTTATCTAGTATCTAAATTAGATATATACCTGAATTAAAAACAAGAACATATGTTATTGAATTCTTGAAAAGTTGCAGAATTAAGAACTTCCTAATGTAGCCAGTCAAACAAAACTGCTGAATGATGTGGAAGGCAAATAGACTGTATGTAGCTGCAACTTCTAAATGTAGCAAGATTTGATATGTCCGATGAACAGTTACTATGAGCATTTACCTTCTTCAAACCAGACAATATTGTCAATCTGACAGCAGGTGACTGTTCAGTCATATTGGTCGCCAAAAAGCATTTACATAGCAACAACTGGCGGCTCGAAATTGACGCTGCCAATTTGGGATGATCACAAATCAGACTCCAAGCCATTAAACGGATCTAAATATTAAACTATGCAGAGAAACTAGAAAATAAATGGTATGATTCCGGTAAACCTTGATCAGTAATGCGATCACTGCTTGCTAAGGAGTATTATAGTCTGGAGTGTTAAATTTATCTCACACTTCTTTTTTATATTGAAAAAGATAAGTAAAACATTTAGCAAAGTACTAACTGATATGATAATTTATACGGATTGAGATTACAAGGTGCAAAGAAAAAGTGAAAACTCCATTTTTCTTTTGTAAAAACTCATTTTTTTCCCCAGAAAAATTAACGTCCACAAAATAAATTAGAAATTTATGTTTGTTCACCTGTCCAATAGCATTTAGTAGTGCGGAAATTACTATACTTTCATCAATGAATGAAGTCCACTCCTGAATATTTCCATCCCTTTTCTGATGGAAAAGACAAAATTTAGCAATATAAAGTGACGTTTCGAGACTGACTGTACCATATACACTATCTACAATATTTAGTATCAATTCGCAATGTTGCAGTTACTTATTAAGTTATGTAACACATTTGCAACATCTTGGTTCCTTAATTGTATCTTATTAACAATAAAACAGTTATAAAGCGATTACTTTTACCTAAAATCTACAGTGAAATATATCTGAAAATAATTAGAAATGAAATACAGTCCAATACAGCAAACCTGCTTGAAATATTTTCAACTCTTTAAGTACCCACTCCAACAGCACAGAATTTTTTGAAAATTCAGGTAGCAATCGTTTTTGAACAGCACTACAAATTGCTTTTTTTGGTGATTGAAGTGATGCGCGTAACAAATGACTGTGCAGTTGAAGTCGATCCGAGTTATCCAAATTCTGGACAGCATCAAAAGCAATGAGCTCACTAGCCTGCAATATTAATTATGTGAAATAAAAGTAGACTACATAGCCATTTTAGATATGGACATGCAAAAAACATGTCTATATCTAAAAATATTTGCATATTATACAACGGAAAAATCCTTCCACAGAAAGCGAATCGAAATTAAAAAACAGAATGAAAAAAAACAAAAAACACATTTGATGTCTGAACAAAATTTCTCAAGATTCCTCATTATTTGTTTTTATTATTTAAAGAACTTATACTATTTACTATTTACTTACCACAGCAACTAGAGTTGAATTCGATAATGAAGAGTATATTTCCTTACAGAAGTTATCCGTGAGAACTTCCGAAGACGATGCCACTATTTTATTATATGCCAACTGAAAGATGCTAATCAAGAGGAAGTTTGCCACTGACAAACTTGAATTATTCAATAAAAAAATACCAGAACGGTTCCTGAACAAACAGTAATTCTGCAACAGAATACTTTTAAGATAATAAACAAATAATGTTGCATCTCTGATGATGCTGCGGAAGATCTTGAATAAAATCTTTTCCAAAAAAAAAAAAAACATACGATACACCGGTAACGACCACGACAAGATGATGGTAAATCAGTCAGGAATCTTCCAACATTTTTAGCCCATAATGAAAGAGAGCCATTCAACATACAACGGGTAAGATGCAAGTTCATTAGCGATTCGAAAATGCTGACACAATCGTGACATACTGCTTCAGAAACATAATCCCAGAATCTGCAGACAAAATCTAACAATTTATCCTCCTCGTATTCTTTCAAGACCCATTTTTCTTCTCTGAAACATATGGAAGTTTTATTCTTAATCAGCTATTTCGTTGGATTTCCCATGTAAAAACTGCTAACTTATGAAAATTTAAGAAAAGTTCACTTCCGGAGTGTTAATCATTTTAAGTGTTAAACTTACTTCAGTATGACCATCAATCTCGCCAATGCATTTGATATATTTAACATTGCCCTTGCATTACTAGAATACCTGGAAGGGTCAAATTATTAGCAATATTTAATTAATTGATTTTTAAGTGTTTAAGTCTTAAATCTTATACAAAGCTTTTATTTTCGCGGTAGCCTTTTCCGTTTTACATTGTGCTATCATTTTCACTGCTATTAGTATCGTTGCTACTACAATAGTTATATTATTAACATGAAATTCAGGAACGATTTCAACTTCTGCAATTAAAATTACTTTTGGGAGAAAAGCAAAATTGCCGGGATGCATGCATCCACCAGAAAGCATTCATGTTCAGTGCAACATGTTTGAAACCAATCTTCGGTTGGCTTCTGGAAAAGAAAAGCAAAACAGGAAGTCGACAAAGTATTGAAGCTGTCACATCTTGACTTCTCACCATTAACGGTCATCCTATAATAAATTTTACATTTTACTTGGTCACAGCAACGTAAATTTACTTGGTCTACAACGACCGCCAAAGCATCCATCATCACTTGTACCTTCTACTGCAATACTGGCGGCAAAATTTTTTGATTCGTATCGAGCAGTTCACTTTATTCGTTGGGCCGCGTTTTGATTGTTTTACAAACTGAGTTTGTTGCTTGTTCATTGAGGAAGTTTACTGCCAGTTATGAGACTGTTGGAGATTCTCTAAGCTCTGATGTCAGGAAAGCAAGAAAGTAATTCACGGACTGTTTAAACTGGTTGAATAACTTCACAGCTCATTCACCTGATGCATAGTAGAAACTTCCTCAGCGGTGCTTAATGTCACTCATACACTTTTAAATGTATTCTTTCCATATCGATCACGCCGTTTTCCAGCTAATTAAACTTCAGCCAACAAGGCTTTCGGGACGATAATGACCAGAACTCTCCATATGAATCTGATTGTGGCAGTGGATGGCTGTGGAGGAATCGGACGAAATGGTGGAATGCCGTGGTTTCTACCTGCAGAAATGGCCCGATTTGCAAAGCTGACAACACTAACAGTGGACAGCGGGAAGAAGAATGCCGTGATAATGGGCCGAAAGGTTTGGGAAAGCATACCGCCAAAATTTAGGCCACTGAAGAATCGTTTTAATGTTGTACTCAGTAGGAAGGTGCTTGTTTTCGCTCGTTAATAAATTATTCCCGAAATTGAGAACAACGTAAAGTGTGCCTAAACAAAAGTTTTTGGAAGATTCTGTAGTCTTTTACGTGATCTGATCCTTTCAGTTCCTTATGAACTATTGAAAACTGCTGGAGTCGCATCACTTAGCCATGGTTTTTCTGGTAAGGTGGTCCTCTTCACTTTTGTTATGACAGCCATGTGAAAACTCATTATGTTTTTAATTCGTATCGAGCAGTTGACTTTATTCGTTTATTACGTCTTCATTACGTCAGCACGCATGCTGTAAGGGTTTACTACCTATCTTATTTAGCCCTTCAAGAACAGTCGTGTGATGCCGCTAGTTAGACCATTCCATTTATTTCTTTAGGTTATGGGTAATCAGTTGAAATCAAATTTTCAGTAGGATTTGCTATACTTGCTTGATAAAATCTACTCTAATTCTACTTTCTCCACAATTTTTGTAGATGAAAGAAGAGTCAAATGAGAATGTAGTAGTGGCTCGAAGCTTCGAAAGTGCAGTTAGTCTACTGCAAGATATGGAGAATATTGAGACGATATGGAACATTGGTGGTCGAGAAGTTTATGAATTAGGGCTTAATTCACCATTTCTACATCAGGCAAATTTTTTATTTCCTAGAGTTCAAAACTTTAATTTTTATATGTCCTACTTTCCTGTAAATTATGACGTTTTATTTTTGTTAAGTTCAACTTATTTCTTATATATATGAAAATTTTGCAGATGTATATCACCCGTGTAGAGGGCGATTTCTTGGCTGACGTCTTCTTTCCTGAAGTAGACTATGGTCGTTTCATAAAAAGTACAGAATCGGAAGAAATGAACGAGGAAAAGGGCATTAAATACCGATATGAAATATATACTGTTAAAATAGATAAAGTCGCTTGATACTTTAGTTCTTTAGAAGCTGCACTTTTATCGAATTACCCAGCAATCTGTCTCTTTGCTTACAACAAAATGTCTAAGATACCATAAACCAATCGTTACCATAAATAGATTTACTCTAATTATATAACGTGTCTGACTGCAAAGTAATGTGATATCACACCATAGAATGTTACCACAGATGAAAAAAAAAAACCATAGATATCAAACCAAATAGAAAAATCAAAATACAGTTAAGATGAAAAATTCAAAGGAAGAGTATACTGATTACATTATTTTGTTGATAATCCGTTGATCATAGAACAAAAGAAAGATTGCTTGGGATATTGCGGGATTTTCCGTATCATTTATATATGTAGCTAAATATATGAATTAATGTTGATAAAAACCAGAGAAACTTTACACTCAAATACTCAATACTTTGTACATGCACGTGAAGTCATACTTTAGTGGAAGATTGTTCAATTTAATTCTTCAAAGATAGAAATATTTGAATATCTGAGGTCTGCTGCATTTGTTGCAAGTTCTATGGAGGGCGACGCGACACTCTCAGAATACACATATCTTTTTGAGAAATAACAATCCAGTTCCTGCCTAATAAAATCTTACGCATCCAATGTTCGATTTCTTATCGTCAATTAATCGATTTTGTACGTCTTTCGGTTAACAATCAGAAAGATGATTACTGTTTGCTGATTGGTATATTTGGAGATTATACCATTATAGTATACGTTCAATTGCGAACCGAAAAAAACCACTGAAAAATAAAGAGCAGCACGAAATCTATTTTCGAGTCACGGTAACTATTGAGTGGACAATGTGGACGGTGAAGTGACACTATCAACGATAATGCATAATCTTAAACCGAAGTCCGGAATACAGGAACTAAATCCCAGCGTGCACCTGATTTATAATCAAACCCAGTAAAGTAGGCGTTGCATGACATACAGATTATAGGCGTCGTTTGTAGGTATCGAGGCCATCGTGCAATTTTTTGTTCTCAACACTTGATCGAGTATTGTGAAGAATTACAAGTAAGAGGTTTTCATGGGGATCAACCTGATTTAATGTTTTTTTTTCTGTTTTGCTGAATTAGTTTTGTGAGAAGACTGGTAAGTTCAGAACTGCCATTTATAATAAATTGGATTGGAAATGATTGATAGTTAAAATAAAGGTCTGCTTTTATGTGACTTATTTCATTTCTTGTGATTTACCAGTTGCAGAGATTTCATTGAAATGGTGGGTAGAAAGAAGCGGAGTACCAGTACGAGGAATCATTTTGCTGAGGTAAATGTAAGTTTTATGGTTTCTTTCATAAGTTGATTGTTGTCTATTTGAAAACAACTCATGGATTCATACCAATGTTTTCTCAATATTATTTCTATTTCTGTGCCATTTAGACATGAAAAGGATTGGTAATAATTTGAGAAACGCTATGTACTAAGCTAATAAAACAATATCGGATTATATTTGCAGCAATAGATAGTATACGTTGGAAAGAACTCATCACAAAAAAAAAAAAAAAAAGGCGGAATAGAAACATATGTTAATAGTGATATAAAGAAAAATCTGTTCATGTAGCAAGAAGTATTGCAACACAAAGGGGAGCAGTACCGAATGACATTCTTGATACTTCTAATAAAATTAGGTTGAATTTTACACTTCAAAACTACTTGTTTTTGTCATGCTCCGTATTTGTTCAAGCTGTGTTTTTTATTGTCCACTTTGTGTTTATCGAGACCATCGGATTTTTCAAAGAAATTTCTTGTAATTCTAGTAATAATTTCCGTCAATGTTTACGAAAAGAATTTAATAGGGTGTGCAACAATACGGTACCGGTGATTTTGGAAGTAACAGCACTTATCGTGGTCAGTTTTCGAACGCTAGCAGTATATGTCGTAATGGAAGTCTTGTGGATCCTGACTATTCTGTTCTGACAACAACTTTTCACCGTAGATCAAAACAATACAGTAATCACTTCAATCACAGGAATCAACAAAATGCCGTCAACAATAATACTACGGTAATTGCGTCAGTCATTATGATCTACAGAGGTAAACTGAGTGGAATCCCTTAACAATAGCCCAGAAAATACGTAATGTGCAACTACATTTAACGATAAGTCGGAAGACGCTTTTATAGTGCAACTGGGCGATTATTTAGTACCTAGGGACTTGATGTCGAATCATCACGCTTTTCAATTGTGATTGCAGGCAAATATGAATGGGAATTGCATTGCGAGAAGTGCAAGTCGGGAAACTAGCTCAGCATCTGCTGGTAGTATCATTTCGGGCGACCCGGATGAGGATGGCTTTTTATCAGGATCAGGGCAAGAAATCGAACCTTATGATTTGCGATGTATAGAAAGACGAAGCGTGGCACTAATGACCGAAAAAGAGTCAAGTTGCTCCGTAAGTACACAAACAGGTAAAACTTTTTTCTTCTCTTCAAAATCTTCAGACAAATATTTGGATTTCTTTGTTCGACGAATTCAAGTTTATAAGAATCTTCTCATAAAATTGATGCTAATATGTTCATTGATAAGATTAAAATCTTTGTTGTCTTTGTAATTTTATTTTTGCAAGAGTAGCTTTATTATTTTCATACTATATGCATAAATTTTGTTTTAAGTTGATGGTACGAACTCAGATTTATTGTTAGCTGTGTGCAAGATGAAGTGTTCGCAAAGAGTTGAAGCTGTTGCAGAAGTGATTCAGTGTTTGAATGCTTATGAGCAAAGGTTAGCATTAATTACAGTCATAGTTACTTATGACTGGTTTATTAGACGATTAATGATTTGGCATCTAGAACTGCTCATTCAGAATTCGTGAATAATCCGAGTGAAAAAAACTATGTTTTTTTTCAAACTTTTGAAGAAATTGTGACGTGTTTACCTTTCTACCAAGATGACCAAACTTTAGATCATTCGATGCAGATTCAGATTTATATCATGGGAGCATTTTAATCAAATCATGCTGCTCCATTTATTGTCGATTGTTCAAATATATGATAAATAGATTAAATAAATTAATTATCTATTGCCCTTAGTTTTTTTATGGCAGTTTATTTCTTATTTACTGTGCATTCCATCACAGTTTATCACTTCTGTTAATCGGATTGCATCTCTTTATTTATAGATACATAGGATCATGTGTAGAAACAGCTGTGCGTTCAAAGTCACTATATCTTCGACAGTATGAGTTGCGCTACAATGATGCTTATTTTTTACAAAACTTCGTAGAATCAGCATCATATAGCCGGCTTCTGGAGCTTGCCTTCCCCATGTTGTGCCTTTTACATTCAACGAACCGCCCAGCAGCTACCGTCTATATGCAGTATGCTTCTTTAGTCGTTCTCAAAATTCTGTTGCTGTTTTCATCCGATTTTATTTTATATTC